AAAGGACCTCTTGAGGGGTGCCCTCGTGCCATCGAACCTTACTGCGCAACGAGGCGAGAACGTCCAGGAACTGCTCCGTAAAACGAAACAAACATCGACACATCGGACGATACCACCTTTTAGGGGTTTTACCATGGACATTGAATCTATTGAATCTATTGCATAAGATCTGTTGATATCTGTATAATGATATACCATCATATGCAGATGCACAAGATCTATTGAATCCATTGACATCTGCAATGATGTTTTTTTGAGATTCGATGATCTTCGTGTACACTGGGATTACAGTATCCAATGGGTCACACCCACGACTGAAGAGAGTGATTTCAAGGTTTCAGATTTCGTCCTCACAGCTGGAGACCTTTCCCAGACACGTCTTTGCTCTTCAAAAATTCAGTTCTTGGCCTCTGTGTTGGCGAGCAGTCGATCGCTAAAGCCGCATTCTTTGTGGTGCTTCTTGAGGCATCTTGTGGGGCCAAACCTATCTTTTTTGTTTAGGAATCAAGATGAATCGGATGAATCAAGTGATCTTGAAGGGAATGGTGCGAAAGTGAACCTGGTGCGTTTCTGAGGCACCTGTCTAGGTAGGGAGAATCAAAGTCACGAACATGAACTTCATCAATTTCAACAGGTCTTTGAGAGAGTCTTGGCCATAATCCTCTGTTTGTGGCAATAAACTTGTTCCACATAATCTCTTCTCCAGTGAGGTGTCCCCCCGCAAGCCCTAGTTTAAAGCCAATCAACTCTGGCCTTTGGTCTTATTCTCGCCTACCTCCTCAAATACCATCGAACACCACAAGAACACAAAAAACCAATCACCCAGCACAAAAAGATGTGCGCCACAAAATATCAGCTCCCAACCCAAAACGGAACACTTCGCCACTCCCTTCTCCTGATGCCACAATTCTAGGCGCTCTTCTTCCGCGAGGAGCTCAGCTAAGGACTTGCTCCGTTGAGCTCGGCTGGGCTCGCTCCGCTCGCTCCTGACCTCGTTCTTCGGCTTGCGCTCCGCCAGCCGCTCCTGCGAGAGGAAGCCGTGAGCCGGGAGGACAACCGGTCGGACCGGTCGTGGCTGGTGGGGTTGGAGGAACCAGCAAACATCAAGGTGTACGTGTATATGCATATCTACATCTACCACTACATAATTATATATACACACATACATTCAAGATCATTCAAGTATTGGACAAGTGAATTCTTTGAGATTTCAACTTCAACTGGATACCTTCACCTATCTTCGCCTCACACTTTGAACGGTTTCTGGAAGCCGATGAAAGGATAAACACATGATCAGCTTGCCACAAGTGATTCATGTGTTTCTTGGCGCACCATTAGTCTGCCTAGACTGGGAAGTGGTTCAGTTTGAGACTTTGAGACCGTTATTTTGGGATGGGAGGCCGGGAGGCCATCGCTTGACCTGGTTGGAGGGCCATGGCATGACCTGGGTGGAGGCCATCGCTGGCCAAGACCCCCTGGACTCTTCTATCTCTCGTCTCGGTACTTGGTCCCCTTGAAGCAAGCGAATGGGAACACCGTGAACGCGATGAGGGTGAACCACAGTTGGACGACGTTGCATGAAACAACAAAAAGGCCAACTCAAACTCCCTACCAGCACCTTCATGTCGGGGTCTCCAATGGAATATCCTATACTACTTGTGGATCTCCATTGGACACCCCTTTGAAGGTCTAGGTATGAATTTGAACATATGCCCCATACATCTTCACTCCATACCCCGTACACCACTCCCTACCCGCGCAACAACATGCGAACCGGCTCCTTTTCGGCCTTCTTGGCCTTGGCATTCTGTGCCCATGCGAAGGCTGCTCGCCGGTTGGCCATGGCGCGTGAAGCCGCGACGACGCGCTGGTCTGGCTTCGGTCGGTCTCAGCCAGAAAGAACGGTGTGAGAAGGGTGGGTGTCTTTGGGGGGGCAAAAAGAGACGGAGGGAACGAAGTCTCACGGCAGTCTTGATTCGTCTTTGCTGCTTGGAATCCGATATCTGGATCCAGTTCTTTCTTCTCCAATCGCCAAAACACCAAAAGAACAGATTGGAGAGATGCTCTGCTCCTGCCAGTTTGAGCCCTCTGATGATGGCATTCCTACACATCAATGCAGTCATGCGCGGTTCGGCAGTTCTTGTCATGTTCTCCTGCTTTCTATCGCTGATGAGCCAAGTGGACACCGTTTTCCTGCATGGCCTGGCCGGCCCTAGACAAGTGGCCACGACCAACGCGGGTTGCGATGCTGCAGGGATCTACAGATTTTTCGTAGGGAAGAATCCAATATGAACCCAATCTTGGCCAAACCACGGGGCAAACACCAAACCACCACTACTTCAAGAAAACTACGGTTGAACCGTTGCCTCTCTTTCTTCGAGACATGCCGGAGGTCCCCGATTTCGGCCTACGGGCCTGGATCTTCAAGAAAACACCCCTCCAAGAAAGGTCCAAAAAAACACACATATATTGGATGTACCCATGGCCCATATATATATATATATCCATACCTGATATACCCAGTGATGTCTCACCAAGACTTAGCAGGAACCTGCCTTGGCAGCTCATGCGATGTCATGCTAGCCATCGAAACCATTACAGTGCTTCTTCACGCCCTGTCAAGCAACAGGATCTAGACCACAACCTCATCAATCGCAACTCAAAACATCAAAAAAAAACACAAAAACCAGGAGTCACAAAGGGGTGGTATTTAGTCCCTAAGTGAGTGGATAATGGGCACCCCTAGCCTTCATTAAGCACCCGGTCGATCTCGAGTCGATTCGCTTCTCCGAGGTCGCTTCGTCCTTGGTGCTCCTTTTCTCATGTAGCCCTCGTCCCATCGGACACCTGGTAGGCCATGCGGGCCATGCGGTGTCTGTCCGAGTGCAAGTGGTCTACAGTGTCTACGGTGGCTTGCAAGGGAGATCCCAGCAGTGAACCGCGGTGGAGGAGGGCCGTGCGGAATTGTTGATGTTGAAACATATGGATACATATGGCACATCTTTTGAAGGTTCAAGAAGAATGGCCTGAAAACTACACGTGGACCGGAATTGGATTGGGGATGATGATGCCATCCGCACCCAATCCACCGCACAGCTACTTGTTTTGGGTCTCCGCTGGCGCGACTCTTGGGATGGCTTAAAGAACTGAGAGAAAAGACGTGCTTTTTCACCCGAAGACGCTTCACCCATACCGCAGACACGACCGCCATCTGGGACTGCCATGTCGGACTGCCGCCCTAAGTCAACAGACCCCCCAGTCAACCACCACCCCAACGGCCGTGCCACGTCCCATGGTCCCGTCGTCTAACCGGATCGTTCAGTGCGCCCCAGGTGCGAACGGACTGCCTTGTTCCGCCTGGGTTCCAGGCCCACAACGGTCCAACGAGCCACCCGAGATATCGCAACCGAAGAGGAAGAGGAAGACGAAGATTCTGCTTCAAAAGCGATTTGGAAGAAGGCAGGGCACGACTTGGTATGTGTTCTGACACATCATCTAGCGCCCCAGACTGAGCTGGCGCTCTCGGTGTGCAGGTCCGTGTGTGCCGCTCGCTGAGCTGGCGCTCTCTATGGAATGCATTCGCGACGGGACATGTGTCTGAATTTGATTGCAGGTTTACGGGTTTACACGTTTTTACGCGGGTTGAAAGGTTTACGCGTGTTTTCTCGGGGGCACTTGCAGGGGTTTACACGTTTTTTCGCAGGTTTATCGGTTTGCGCGTGTTTACGCGGGTATACCGGATTTGCCCGCGATTTGGGATGCTATCCCAGACGGACACCAAGAATCGCTAAGGAGTTGTCTAGCGACTGCGGACTGGAGCGCCAGGAGGCGGACCTCTTCGCCTGAAGTCAATTGGATGGGTATCGTCAAGGCGTCAAGGCGTCAACCCCGTTGAGATGGGCCACATCGGTGTTTTCCGACACAACAAGGACAGGAAGAACTCGGACTCCATGCTTCGAGTCGCGCGTGTGCATGTGCACAACCACGCACACGCCAGCCAAACGCGGTGAGGAGGCCATGATACTGCCTCATCGCCTCCCCCCAGGCGTGGTCTGATACCATCTGAAGATGGTCTGAGTCCGAGCTCCCACCGGGTCCTCCCAACTCCCATCCCTCCGGAGCGAGTTCCCCAAGGTGGCCAACTCAAGAACTCAACTGAACAGTTACGTTCGTTTTCGTCCCTTGTTCCGTCCGTATGGCCAGAAGCTACGAACTCCTAGCGGTCCGAAGCTCTCCCCTCCCCCCCCGACGCCCTCCGCTCGGGACCGAGGCTCCGGGCGAGGCAGCGAGAGAGATCCACGGCAGAACACATGTGTCTCAGCTCTTGCTCATAGACCTTGGGATGTACGCGAAGGTACGCGAAGCAGGCGCGAAATAAAGCGAATGGAGCTGATGGATGAGCCAGTGGCAAGTGGGATAGAAAAAGGATGAAAGAAAGAACCATCATAGTGAGGACAACATATATAATAAATCACCTCCTGGTCCGAGTTCTGCCATGGGTCTTTGGCTCAAAACACGCACGTCGACCAATCCATGGCAGTTGGAACAGCTACTCCAACTCGGTGAAATCGCTGTTCCCACGGAGAGTCGACGGACGTGAACAGCCGAGTTCGGGCGCGTTCGTATGGCACCGCATCGGTCGGTTCCGATGAGAACTCTACGAAAGGAGGAGAGGCAGTGTTTTGGTGAAGCTCGAAGAGACCAGTTGACCATGAAAACCAGGGCTGCAGGGCTCTTTCTAAAGCATAGCAACCTGGTCGACACTGGACCCACAAGTGTATCTCGCTGACCACTTCTCCGACACTTACTTCGACCAAAAGACCCACCACCGGAACGCGGATGATGCGCTGCTGAGATGCGGAAAAACGAACTCTCTGCTGAATCTACCAAAAAGGCAAATGATCTATACCTAGACCTTCAAAGGGGTGTCCAATGGAGATCCACAAGTAGTATAGGGTATTCCATTGGAGACCCCGACATGAAGGTGCTGGTATATAGCATTATATAGCTATTTCTGCCATCTTCTCATCTTCTGCCTTCCTGTCTTTTGCCCGATTCCAAGCTGTTGTTCTTGGCCAACCGTGGCAACCGGGTCCCCGCACCGGGTCCCCGAGAGTGCCCAGGGCTTCCAGCAGGAAGCGATCTAAGATGCCTTGGGCCAACTGCTGTGGCAGTGAGCCTAACCTCGGTGCGACGCGGGGTGCTCATATGCGACAGCAACGTCGGTCCGAAATCAGCGGCCCATTTGGAAGAACCAAGACGGTTATAGTGGCTTAGGCTATATGTTGGAAACCAGATAGTGGTTATACCAATTGGAAACCAGCTTATGCTATAGCGGCCACAGAGACAGACACTCCGTGACCCAATCGGTTCAATGCTGAACACACAACCACGCAAGCCAATGATGAAGAAGATCCCAGTTGCTAATACCTGCAAACTGCAAACTTCTTGTATCACAACTGTGGCAGATTCCTGCAACACACAACTGCGACAAACAGCTGAGCATTCGAGCTCCTTCTGTTCACCCTAATTCAACGCCAAACACCGCGATTCCGCGCAAAAGGAGTGGTGCATATTTTGACCGTCCAAAAAAACGACCCCCCCCTGGCCAATTGGTGATTTCTTCCTTCCAAGCAACACCCCAAAATCTGGGTATACTTTGGGTCTATCCTATTTCAAACAGTGGATGATGGTTAGTAAAGCCCTTGTTCCAAAAATCGATAAAATCGTCATAACATCGTCTACGGGTCCTGTTACCAGGTCAGTTCGGATCGAGGAACAAACAGGTCTACGTAGACATGATCCTCTTCGATCCTCTTCGATGCCTCCCGGCCCCATCTTCTCCTGCCCCGGGCTCCTCCCCTTCGGCCCAGCGACAAGGGTACGGAGACGATGAAGTCCTTTGCCTCTCCGAAGCAGCGGTGGGCCTGATCCCCCGGCTGCGAACAGCTCACGAAGGGGTAGGAGCCTCAGGAGATGGAGCTGGTGGGGATTTCGGTGGCAGATGTCTTCACGTCAAGGAGTTCTCAAGAAACTAAGGCTGCTTGAACCAGCAGTATATTGTCTTACATCAAACGCTCGGAAGCTGGGCAAAGCTGCAAACACATCCCCAAGACGACGTCTTTTCTTGTTTCTTTCTTCTTCCTTTTCTTTCTTGAAAAAACACATCGCACCAGAACCCAACGTCACGAAACCAAAACCGCCACCACCTTCCGTGACCCGCGTGGCACGAACTCAGAGCCCAGACCCAGAAGGAGCTCCTGCGCGGGGCGCGCGGGTCGGACTTGGACCGGGACCCGGCGTCCGACCCGCAGTTTGACGCAGGTCCAGTCTGGTGTGTTGTATGACCAACTCCAGTATTTCATCATCGGTGAACCTGTGGCTGGAAGACGTGGTGTTTCTTCACCATGTTTTCCAGACACCTGGCTAGTGAGAGACACGTGTCTGGCGTTCAGGCTTCGGGCCCAAAGTATCTGAAGTGGTCTCCAACAAAGAAGAGCTCCAGGTCCTGTAACCAGCGACCCCAGCGTCAATTGGGAGCCTTGATCTGAGCTTGGAATCCAGCTTTTTGGAGGCAAACGGATTACTTTCGTGCATGCTAAATTCTCTGAGGTATTCTTTAAGAGAAACAGATCAAAACACGACCATGGCCTGTAATAAGCAAGTACATGAATGGCCAATCACATCCAATAACCAAGCAAAGAGCCACCAAGCCGAGCAGCTGATCCTCGACCGGATCTAGCCAAGCATGTTGGACGACTGGGGTGTGAGAAGTACTTTGGTAGACAGGTAGACATCTTCGATGCATTCCAATTCAAAGAGATCATCTGGCAAGACACCAGGTGTTTTTGGCTTCATGTCACATGTCAGGGAGCCTGACCTGAGCCAGCGACATGGTACAGTAGCATTCGGTTCGTTGCATTCGATGTTGCTTCCCAAGAAGCCTTGCGAATGGATTTGCTCCAGGAGCTGGGAAAAAAAGCGGTTAACAAAAACAGGGGAAAAACCATCCACTATCACCCTTACACTCAGCCCTAGTTCTTGCGCAAGCAAGCCTTGCGCCTGGATCATGGATCCAATCCCCTGCGCCTATTCAGCTCAACCCGCCTGGGGGGACCAGTCGTGCCAGCGTCAGGTAGCCCAGATTGGCCCAGCGGACGGGCCTCCGGTTGACTCCGACACAAGAGCTTCGAGCAGTCCTTCAAGGTTCCTAAAACATTAGGTGGGAACATCTGCGCCGGATCGACTTCGGCAAGACGTCTGAAAAAGATGGTGCGACATCAGACTCAATGGGTGGCTTCTCAAAAAGGAGAAGCCAGATTCTCCACAAAACCAGTTCAGGTCTTCATTTGAGACACTTCCCTGATCCAAAGGAAAAGTCCATTATCTTATACTTCCTCAGGTTGACTGCTCAACTGCTGACTGCGTCGCGTGCAATCATGCATTTTCTCCTACAACTCTGGCGCAGCTACTGCCAGAAAGGACACATAAACCGGCAATAAGAGGTGGAGCCACCAGTGAGACTGATCTTTGGCAAAGATGGGTGCCATCAAGGCCTCGATGGGCCGTTGCACTGCGACAAAGAGCACCAAGGCGCAAAGCGCATGCGCCAAAATCAGCCCTGGACCCAGCAAGAGTTGCTCGTAGAAAGGATCCACGCGGTCCCCACGCATGAGAATCTGACCTCTTTGAGAGTAGCCTTCCACCAGAAAGGTTTGTAGTGGTGCTTCAACCGCTAAGATGCAGAAGCTCAAGCGAGAAATCAAGCTGATCATACTGCACGTGAAGCTTCCCGTCATGTGACGCCTGTTTTGAGGCGCATCCAGGTCTAAGAGCTCCAATGTATCCGCCCTCAAGAGAACGCAAAGGCCCAGCACAAACGGCAAGTCGCCCACCGCATCCTTCACATTTCGCTCCTGGCAGTCTTTTGTTTGTGTTTTTGACACATTGGACCAATGGTGGCACATTTGGAACACCAATTTGCAGAAACCGTCTCTTTCAGGATGTGATCAGAGGTGGTGCTGACACCGCTCCGGTCGTTCCACGAACAGCGCCATCGAAAAAAGACGATCCGAGCGACAACCTGATCCTGTTTCGCGGTCCTGACACCAAAGTGCATAATCATTGCGATTGATCCAGCTCGACCAGAGCCAGCCCAATCCAGCTGCCAGCCAACCCACGCGTTGCGTCAAGAAACGCTTGGGGATGAGATGAACGAGCCTTCGGAAGAAGAGGAAGAGTCCTAGAAGGCTTCTGAGGGCTTCTGAGGATTTGAGCTGGTTGGCCAGCTGATTCAGAGGTTGGAAACCAAAGGCTTAGTTCTTTCAGTTGAAACAAAGGGTTCTCTCCTCAGAACGGGCCACTCGCTAACTGCTTGATGGTCTTGTGGGAGAAATCCATTTTCTAGACCCAAAGAAGGCCCCCAAGAAAGGCGGGCTTCATCTTCAGCCCGGCCAAATCAAGCCCCCCAACGTCAGGTTTTCCCTGAGGACCTGGTCCTGATCCCAGCCGTTTTCTGAATGGAACCTCCCCCCCAGGTCTCAACCACTTTTAGTAAGGATCTCAAGCGGCACGTGGACCTCACCATCCGTTGAAGGAACCGTTCGACCGTTTTGACCGGAACGCCCCTTGCTGTTTTGGGGTTCGTCCATGGACCAGGGCTGAGACCCAAACTGTAGACTGAGACTTCTGGGTGGGGAACCCCGGGAGAAAGAGGTCGGGGGGAGGAGGGGCACAATCTCCACGTCTCCTAAGAACGCGGGATTCTCCAATCTCTTGGCCAACATGTAGTGCTGCTCCGTGAAGTCCCAGCGCATCTGCTCGTGAAAGTAGTCGATATAAAAGTACGCCAGCCCAAAGACACAAAGAAGAAGCTCCAGGACACCGGCGTAATTCAAGCCCATCGCCTGGAGGAGCAGAAAGCCAAAACAGGCCAGAATGCGTTCCGTGGCGTCCCTCACTTGCCAGTTGATGGTGTGAAACCGCAAGGCGCACGTCCAAAAAGATCGTCGGCCTCGGGTGAACAGCTCTGGTCGGTCAATTTTTGGTTTCCGCAGATATCTGAAGACCTCACCGACAACAGCTCAAGTGAACAGATCAATTGAACAAATCTTCATGGACTCTTCACCAAAACAGCCTCGAGTGAATCACATCGAACTTCTCTTTCGTGGCAACAGGTGCAGTTTCTTTCTTGAAGATCATAGACTGGGCCTTCTCATTTGGGACTGTGGCTCTGCCCTGTTTTTAGAGATGAACCCCATTCGCGAACTTCCACTGTCGATCGGAAGCGTGCAGGTGTGTTTGACCCACACCACAGCGAACTTCCGCAGCTGCTACAAAACCCGGGAAGATTAACATAGAACCTGAAGGACACGTCGGGTTGTAGAGGAAAGGTAGTCTTCCAGTCTGTCTCCATGCCATCAGCTTCCATGTGAGTCTCTTCCCGGGTGTATCACATCTCTGGATCTTCGTTTCGCACCAGGAGAGTCTGACCGCCATTAACACTGCTTGTTTTGACGGCCCGAAACTGAACCCCGTCTCTTCACGTCGATGGAGAACCTCTCCGAGTCGGCGTTCCCGCCCGGAACGCCCCGGCGTCGATGGTGTGATCGGTCCGAACGCGAAGCCGGATGGTTCGTCTGTCGAGGTTGGTGTGAATCCGGGTGGCATCCGTAGATGTCCTGCTGGGTGTTCCACTGCAAGACCGATCCTTCTACCTGACCGGTCCGGGACCGGGACCGGCGTTCGGCGAAATGGTCAAAGGGTAGTAAGAAGAACAAGCTTCCAAGCTATAAGAACAAGCTAAGAACAAGCTATAAGGGTTTTGAGTAAGTCCAAGCTATAAGAACAAGCAGGTTTTTAACATCTCAACAGACCGAAAACCTTCGAACACTTGAAGGGTTCAACCGCATGACATTCTGAACAACAAACAGCTTCTTTTGCTCCACAGTCAGACACAAAAATGATCAAAAAAGACTGTTCCTCGTTGAGGATGTTTCTTCTCCCACCTGGCTCTGGGTTCCATCCAAATACGACAGTGGCTTGCTCTGGAAGGCAAATCGGCTCCCAACGCGGTCCCACCAGACGGAGAGGATGATCAAAGGCCACTGCCGCAGAAACTTCCGAGCCAGTTTCAGATTACACTTCCTGACTGCCGAAGTGAAAGAACACGACGACTGAGAGCTGAATTGGGTCACATGTGGATGTGCGAAAATGTGGACACACAGCGGTTTGGAACGGATTCTGTCCCGCTGAACTTTAAAGGAACGAACTCAAAAGGACACCGCTGGCCATCTGAGCTTCTGTGAGATTTCCCAGAAGCTCTTCTCCTTCAAGCCCGTGCTGCCACTTTCCAGTGCGAAGTGCAAGGTGAGCACCGTCATCACCAGCACAGCGCGAAAGTAAAAGGAGATCCGCAGATTGGAAGGAACCAGTTTCTCCGTTCGTTGGGCAATTTGCGATAGCTCCAGGTGAAGGCAAAGGAGAAAGAGAGTGGCCAACGTTCGCAAGAGGTCCACGCCTAAACCTGCGGCCTTCGGCTGCCATAACTCGGCCCAGGAGCGCTTCAAGGAAAAGGACTGTGCCCAATGTGCAAAGCAACTTTTCTGCGCTGGTCGAGGTACTTGGTCGAAGCAAAAGTGATCAGCCATGGTTCCAAGAGAAAGGAAGGAGATGATGGCAATGCAGCAAACTTTAATTTGAAGAGACACTTCTTGCATCCGCTCTGCAAGTGTGGCATCTGCATCTGCATAGACCGCATCCAGGAAGTGTGGCCACTCCCAAGCATCGACTGAGCGGATTCTCATCCTGGGAGCGTAGCATGGGAGACTCATGGAGACGCATACATTCCATGGCATGGTCCCTTGAAAAACCGAAGGATCCCATCCTTTTGCTTTACACAGGTGAGGTTCGAAGAGAGGGTTGGTTCCAGCCCTGGCATCTCAATGTTGTGGGACCGATGCCGGCCGGTTCCGAGCAAAACAATGAACCAAAATCTGGTCAGTTGATGGAATGTCCCCTGACTTTTTGTCCAAATAACTCTTGACCCATCACAACCATGAAAATCAGCAACTTCGCTTTTCCTCCAAATGACCACAGGAAGGTCCCCATGAATCCATCGGAGAATCCATCGAGAAGGCCCCCCCAGATCATCAGCACCGGCCATCTGTTTTACTCCACCAATCACCTTCACGGAACACTTCACCGAACATCGCGCCCAAAACAAAACCAAACTCGAGCCCAGAAAAAAACCTTCAAGCCTTCAGCCTTCACCAAGGCCTTAAACCTCTATGCATTCTACTGGACAGGCTTTTGACCGAGATCTTTCCGCCGCCCCCACCCACCGAGCCACTGGCGTGCTCTGAAGGCCAAGCTTCATGAGCCGCCGTGCGTTGGCCACCTGCAACGCATAGCGGGGCGCCAGCTCATCGACCACTTCCTTCACCGAGCAGATCGAAGGCGCGCAGAAGCCAAAGTGAAGACGATGAGTGGAGACCTCCGAGACCCGGTCTCTACTCAGCTCGAGAATTCAATAAGATGGCACGCTCTCGCGACCGTGGAACCAAAAAGCAACCAGGTGTTTCTCTTTGCAAAAAGAAAAACAAGAAAACCACCGAAAACAACAACAACAACACCCGGTTTGGAGTCCTTCTTTTCAGAAACATCTCAGGATGTTCGCCTGATACCACACGGTCTGAAAAATTGTTCTCAGTGAAACAACGCAGGGTGAGATCTTGGTCGACGCAACATTGGGCATCCCAGATCTTGGTCCTTTTCTTTTGGAGAAGCAGAACCGCCCTTTCAGATGAGCACGTTCAGCATGTTGTTCATATATATATATATAATATTAATTAAACACCATCAAGAACACCAACTTCCGGCCTCTCCTTCCCAGCTCTGGGTTTCAAAGCCCAGTTGAACCAAGAAGAATCGTCCATTGAAGGCAATGCAGCCAGGGAAATCGCCATGTTGTTGACCATCCCAACCATGTCCCAGGTGCCTTAAGGGCACACCAGAAAACTCGGCATACACACCAATGGGCGGGCCCCACTGGATATTCAAATCCCATCCCCAGCGAGCTTGGCATGAAGAGATGCCCTTCTTCAAACTCTCCTGGCGCTCGGTAATCACCGCACTCTCCAAGTGGAAGCCATGATTCTGGTGGAACCGCACATATTTGCCCACGCCCGTTTTGGGCTCCGTGGGCTCCATGGACTCTGCGGACTCTGTGCCGTGGTTGGTGACGGTCTCATTGCAGCAAAAGGCATAGGTGAAGGTCTCATCCTTGGACTTCGTCAGACGAAAAGGGACAAGTTGTGTGGCGGGACAAGCGGGTGGCGGGTGGCGGGTGCGGTGCGCGTGCAGGTTTGTTTTCACCAAGCTCCACTTGGTTGGGACCCACAGCTCCACAGCTCGAATCATTCATTTGGCACAGAGTATAAGGAGCAAAAAAAGGGGGATTGGAACCGAACCCGTTCGGAGAAAAAGGACACACCGAAAAAGACACAACACCTGTTGATGGTCGCGATACACCAGGCATCCCAGCATTCTGCTTCGCCCTGAGGACCCTTCATCGGATCACAGCAAAGCTCGTATGTGAAGCTGCCTGACCAACCTGGCTGGACGACGCCCCCTCCGCCCGACGACGTCCCGGACGTGAGCCGCTCTGGGACGCCAGCATGTCTTAGTTTGGAAAGGTGGTTTTCTGCTAGAAACAGTGATGTGAAAGCAAGACAACCCCCTCTTGTTTCTTGTTACTAGTAATGGCCTCCAACCTACTAGCGATGGCCTCCAACCTACTGGCGATGGCCGCATCCGAAAATGCAACCTTTAGGTGGCTGAAATGGAAAGGCGCTGAAAGGTGCCCAATACTTGCCGAGGACTTGCTGAGCCCCAAACACTCCATGTAAGGTCCTTTTTAGCCGACATTTGGTATTGGTGGTGAATGTAGGGTCGTCATATTGTGTAATATTAGTAATGTTTGCTTACATGGAGCATTGGGGAAGTAGATCAAGCAACAGTATGGATTTCCATTTCCACCTATCTCCGGCAGCAAAGAGATCCACACCAGGCTCCATCTCCACAGAACGCGATCCAAAGCCATGGACACGTCTGCGGCTTTGTGTGTCGCTGGTCGTATTGTTAGACATCTATTCACCGACCGGACATCTATGTCCTGCTGGAAACCAACGATTTGCGGAGCTTTTTTCGATTTTGGGAGCCCCAATTCGCAAGGAGGTTGGAGGCCATTCCTTTTAGGTTGGAGGCCCAGCAATGGCCTCTCCTTGTTCACGCTCCAAATGGAGCCTACTCTTTCCCAACCCATGAGCGTTTCGGTTGAACTCTGAGCGATTAAAACTCCGCCGTTTCGTTTTTGACATGTCATGACATGTCAAAAACGATTTGATGTCTTACACTATCTGATCTGCTTGATTTGTGTCAACATGTAAGAATACGTAAGATCACCTTACATGTATCATCACATATCCATCATCTGCGCTAAAAATTCCTCGGCGTGGTGAACAACTGCATGATGTCTGCAGGGGGGGGCACTGTCTGGTTCCCCTGGTGATTTATTTTATAAGACCTTTTCCTTCATGTTCCTGAATCTCCCTAGAGCCAAAAGATATAGCGAAACACCGCTGGGCCATGTGTCAAGTGTCTGCGGCTTCACAGCCGCACAAGCCGCAGAAGCCGAACAATGTCTAGATCGGCTTCGGAGATTCCTGATGATTTGGACAGATTTGGACAGATTTTTACCCATCCAATGATGAATTTAAGGGGTTCAATTCAACCTTAAGAGGTCTTAAGGAATGAATTAAAGATAATTAAACCCTCTTAAGGCCCATGTTAGGGCCCATGGGTCGGAGACCTCCATCAACCAAGACATCGAGTCACAGATCGGGTTCAGTTTCACGTTGAGATGTCTTTCCACCTTTTGTTTTCTCTGCCATTCTATCATATTCTATCATATTCTGTATGGTTTCACGACGCCTGAACCTCGCGATCTCCACCAGGTCACCTGTCACTGCCGGTCACCTGAACCGGTCTCCACGCCCGATTCTGTGCGGACCACCGACCTCGCGGCGACCTCGTCGGGGAACGGCAGGGACACGCCCGGCCGGACCTGGAGGACGATGCGACGTGAGACGTGGAGGAGCCCGGCGAGTCAGGTGCTACTGGCGGGTGCTGTGCACCCACGCGGGTGATGGGTGCGAGGTGCATGGTGACGCGGACGTCACAAGGTCGGAGGCTCAATCGGACTCTTGAGTCCGATATGTCTATCGATCGTCAGGTCTGGTTTGGTGATGGGATTTTCAATGACACCTATGGTAATCATGCCTTGGAGGGCTCCTTGTTCAATCCCTTTTTCAGCCCTTTTCCGTGTTCCGAGAAAGCGATTCATCAAGACAGATGCGTTGCTTCGTAGGAGGAATGCTGGGAGAGTGACCTGGACGGTGGAGCACTGTCTGTGGAGCACTTGTTGGTTGCATCCGAATCCGGTCCCTGCCTGGTAAGCCGGTCCCAGAATTGGTCTACTGGTTGTTCCAAGGAACACAGCGCTGGCGCTTGAGATCCCTGTTCCAAGTGGTTGTGTGGGTTTCTGGTTCTTTGGCTTTCCAGGTATCTCACATTTCTCTGGGAGAGTCTTGACTCCTCCAAAAAGTGCTTCAATCGTTCTTCACACATCTTCACACATCTAAGCCCTTGCCGCAAGCCCCTCCCGCTTTGGAGAACGCGTTTCATGCCTCGTTTGCTTTGTTTGGTCCTCTTGCCACGCCAAGGGCCGACTGTGCCAGGACCGGACCCCAGCCGCTGGGCAGACGAGGTGCCAAGTGCCAGAGTAATGAGAATTGATCGCGAAGGTCATGCCTGGCAGCCACCCTCTGGCGAACATGTTCCTCGTTGGTTCTGGAAACCTATGCAACAAAGATCTGCCTACGGGCCTACTTTTGGGATCCTAACTTGGCTGGCTTTAGAGATGAACTTCGGCAAACATGTTGGCTTAGTTGGAAGAGGCCTGCACTTGTCGCATACTCCAAGAGGGTGAAGTACTGTTGGAGCCACAACATCCCAACGACCAGCGACTAGCCCTCCCACTCGCAAAAACGCGACAACGAGGACACCTGGTGGTTCCATAGCCATAGCACATGCGATCAACCTGGTCAGCCCCCGAGCTTGCCATGAGCCAAATCCCTCTCCCAAAGGCTGCTTGACGACTTCATGTTTCGAAGGGTCTTCACTCCAGGCCCTGAAGGTGCGCTGTAAGGTCCAGGACCACTGATCACCTGCCACCTCGGCCGATTTTGCGCTCTTATTGCATCTTAGACAGTCCAACGCAGAAGGAGTTCTGCATCGTGTAGTTGTTCAAACGCCCCCCCCAAACGGCAAGGTGATGGGCTTAATCGGCTCCTCATGGGAGACTCTGTTACACCCAGTTTTGCAGCCTTGTTCTCCGGCTCTTGGCGCCCTTCCCACGCTTGGCATTTCTTCTTCGCACTGCCCACCGTCAGACGAACGACCCACCAGGTCGACCATCGTTTCAGACCCGTTCGACGGCGCACGTGGTTCCCCCAGCTTCGCAGCTTCCGTGTGAGCGACTCAAGGCATCGGTCGAACATGAAACCCGGCAGCGGCCAGCGCCCACCAAACGGTCTGACGACTGATCCGAGAGATGGGCATGAACACTTGGGTGGTGCCGAAGATACGAAGAAACTGGACTTCTAGAAAAAGAGATGATCGAACCGCTTGACATCGCCGCTCCATGACAGGATCGCATCTCGATGATCCGACGAACCACTCTCACCGAGGCTGGCTGCCTCATGTAGGGGTTGAGCGCCACATCGTCAGGGCCATAGACCTCTTGCAGAAACTTTCGGCCTGCGCCATCCGCCACAAAGCATCCAGGCATGAAATCTGGCCGTGGTGTCTACTGACTCCTTCTGTCATCCGTGCAGAAAGTTCAATTAGAAAAAAACACTTCGAAGAAGATGCCGCCCCGCAGCAACCCCAATCAACCTTTTCGCAGGTGTTTTTTGTTTCTGTTTCTTTATCTTTCTTTCTGTCTTTCTTTCTTTTCTTTGTTTTGTTTCTTCCTTCCTTTCATTCTGGTTGTTGGCAATCTTAAATAGACCACATTTCCCCCCCAAAGCGAAGTACCTTCCACTGTTCACTAGTGGAGCACCCGTTGACTCACCATAGGCATGCCATTTTGGGGGCAAGAAGCGAGACACGCGACGCCTTCGGGAGAGCTCCGCACCAACCAGTTGCCACCAGCGAGGCCGCGGCCGTCCTGAGGACACGGAACGACCCTCGTCCGGCTGAGCGACGAATGTCCAAACAAACGTGTTGACCGTTTGTTCCGCCTTACCATCCTTTCATGTCTGACCTATCCCGACCATTGGCTACATGTGATGCGTAGCCGTGCGATGTTATTTTTTTTGCTTCCGTGGATGGCCGGCATGGCCTCGAAAGGAAGACCGTGTTCTCTACAAACAGGTGGTGCCACCCACGTAACCATGTTAATGACTCGGAGAGAAAAACTTACGACCAGACATGGAGGAGCTGTTTGCTGAACAAGAGAGATGGAGAATCCACGAGGAGTTTGCTTTCCTCTGCAGAGATGGGACTACGAAGATTGAGTGCAGTCTACGGAGAATGGAAGACACCACGGACGAGTCCAAGACATCTCCAGTGAAATACCGTCATTGGAGGATTTCAGGGGTTGGAGTGATACATGACTCTTGATAAACAGTACCCCCAAGACATGGATTGTAAAAACCTTTTTTTATAAGGGTCTTGTTGATAAAGATTGGGTACCCATTCACAGCAACAGTGGATGATAGTTAGATTGCAGGCCTTTCAAACAAATAGCTCATACTAAATCATTGCTTAGAAATCGTCAAAAAAACAGGAAAAGAACAGGAGAGGTATTAGGAGAGACCCAAGATGAAGAGTTTAATACCTAGACCTTCAAACAGGTGTCCTGTCTGGAGATCCACAACAAGTAGTATAGGCTATTCCATTGGAGACCTAAGACATGAAGGTGCTGGTAGGGAGTTATGTGATCCCATTCAGACCCATTAATTATCGTGATCCCCAAATAGCTCGTCGCACTGTGAAGCTCTCATCTCGACCGGTTCGGTACCGAACGGAACCGGAAACCCGACCGGTCCACCAGGTCGGCTCCCCGCAGTGAGGCTGGACTAGTACTGTGGAGAAGATGTGTTTTTGAGTGGGGAGAAAACAGTGTTCAAACAATAGGCTACTTAAAATCATGTGATCTAATGAATCTAATGATTTATGTTCATTCTTCTTCTTCTTCTTCTTCTTTCTCGTCTCACCGGAGAGTTCGCCGTCCTCCGAGATGAGGAAATGGACGTCGGGATTGAGTTCCAGCTTCCCCCAGGGCGTCGCCCGGCTCGCGAAGCGATACAACAGGCTGTCCAGCGTGACCTCATCGCGGTCGACTTCGTGTTTCGGTGGGATTTTGGGACCAGCGATGCTGCCTGAGGAGAGGAGAGGGAGGGGGAAGTCATGGAATTTTATCATGGTTTGGCTCCATGACTTGTGGGGTAGCTACAAAAGATTGTAGGTGTTGATCGGCGTTCTTTTTCTTTCCTTTACACTTTCGGCAGCAAGACTCCAAAGTCCTCACTCAGATGTCATCGAGCCAATTGATCTAACCTCTCCTCAGCATCGGCCATCCAATTCTCGGCCTCCCTCGGCGCCCCAACGGACATGTCCACGAAGAGGGAGTCACAATCCATGGAAAGAATCCAGTCCTCGGTAGCTCCACGGTTCCCGGACTTCACATGCTCTGCTCAACCGGATACGAGTGGAGAAGGACAGCATGCTCTCCCCAACGCTGGGTGTTTCAACGCGAGAAGTGATGGATAACAATTCGTTCGGTGAAGCTCCGAAGAACAGTCATCTGTTCGGGTCTGATGCTCATACTTAGTGGGGCAAAGAACAAAAAGACATCCCTCAATTGGAGGGCTTTTTGGCAGGTGATCCACTCAACTCCTGGATCTGGGTTGTCTTGTCTACTAGTCAAGGCCACGCGGGCCAGCGGTTTTTGCATGGGATACGGTGTCCCACCCTGTGCGTGTACCAGAAGCTAGTCAAACCCTGTGGCGA